TTATTTTGCATATTGAGCACTTCTACTCTTTCAAGCTCTTGGCTCTTGCGCTCCACTCTGGGGGGCCAAAGACTATGGGCTGAAGAGTCAATAGATGTACAGCTTTTTTAAGCCAGTCTCTAAATTTAACCATCCGTTCACACCCGTTCTCTAAATTTAGCCATTTTAACATACAATCTTTTTGCAGTCGACTAGATTAATGAAAGTTTAAATATTTATCCAAGTTTTTCCAATTGAAAAATTTTTTATATTTTATTCTGAACAATCGAGAGAGAATGCAGTAAATAGCATAATTTGTTTGTGAATAAATCATCTAGTGCCTGTCTAGTTTTTCGCCATTAGCTAATATTTTATTGTAATGATACCTATTCAATAAATGAGTCTTTCTGTATAGTAAGTCTCAGTAACAGCCCGGAGTTGAGAAGTTGGCGCTGTTTCACCCCCGTGCCTCGGAGAGCACGTAAAGCCGTCGGTCCTGCGCCTTAACTCTCACTGGTCGTGTCGAGCAGTCGTCCCACCGGAGTATGAGAGTGACAGGAATAGAGAGTGCACTTGTGTCTGCGCGTACACTTGTGGACTATAATATCTCCTGCGCAGTTGGCTAGACTCAATGAGATTGGCCGCCGTGGCCGGAATCGGCTAGGAGAACATCATCATCATCATCAATAAATCACCGTCCACTATCGTTTGAAAGAAATTCTGTCTTAGAACGGATTAGACCTTTCAATGAAATCTTAGTTCGGTCTGCATCAGTAATTATTGATGACCATAAATTTGGGTCATTTCAAGGATTCAGATTTTCAATGCCGCCACTGGATGTAGACATAGATTTAGATACGTATTTTTGGCTGGATAATGTTGACGACGGCGGCGGCGGTGGAGTAACAATGATGTTGCTTACTCACTGTTGTTGTTGAAAAAAATATTTCAGCTAGGTTAGGGTTAGAATGCAATGACATATTGTCACTTTCAGTCACTAAAGAGTATCATGGACTTAGAAGCTTCTTGACCATTGTCTTTTATATATTTATACAAATACACATAAAGATATTCTCTAAATGCTTTCTTTTGATAGCTTGTTGCCTTTTCGAACTATCGAACTAATTTTTTCTACTGGCATCACAATCGGCCAAACTCAGTTTGAAAATCTTTTTTGCATATAAATTTAATTAAGCACTTTTACGCAGTTTTTTTACTAATTCACTTACTTTACTATTATTACTTATACTTAATAGTGCAAGATTTAATATTAATAAAGGTTTATTGAAAGATATGTGATATGTGCTTGTACTGCACGTTGTGGGATTTTTAATACACGGCGTAAGGCACGAGATTCTAATACACTTGGGTTGTTGTGCGAAGGCGCGAGGCCCCGGGCGATTGCCCTGCTCGCCACCCCCTAAGGCCGCCACTGCTCCCCAAGTAACTGATTTCAATCAAACACAAGGCGGGTTGCCTTTGAGTATTGTAGCAGTCGGGTAAAAAGCAGATATTTTTATTGAATTTGTGTGTATACAACGCTTTATTACCAATTACGAACTGATTTTCATGAGTACGTTCTTTTATGTATCATTTATTTATGTAAATTACCCCTAGGGTGATATAAATTCCATAAAAACTTGGATTAGGTGTGGATATTTTTTATTTAGAAAACGTATAATGTACGTTTTTTTAGAAAAACGAAGTATATATTAAATTAGGTAATTACATGTTGTAGGAATGTTCCCTGAGTGTGAATAATTGTCACACTACGTCAGTAAATGACCTACAAAGTGGACTTAGTCCAATACTAGCACTGGTTTACGTTAGCTATGAAGTGAGTCAGTGTTATCAAAATTTCTAAGAATTATCTTGAAATTTCATAGAAATCAAGGACTTAGCTGTTTTACAAATGATATGTTTCATTTTACAGTGCGGTAACCTTTATAGATATATTTTTTTAAATAAATCCTTAAATTTTCGCAAATATTTCTTAGTCTATATTTTAATAATAAAACACCCTCAAAAAGGTGTTATTCCATTTCCACTCATATTTTGGTCTCTTTACCAACTTGATGTGGTTAAACAAATATCTTCTATCATAAATTTTTAGGTATCATTAGTATTAAAATACTATGAATATATGAATTAGATATATATATTTATTTAAGCATACAATGTAGACGTATTAAAACTGAAATCTGTAGGTTTATAAGTGTAGATATGTCATTGCATGAATTCACTTAGTAATGATCGATCGATTGATTAAATCTTCATGTCATCATGTTAGCTATTTATTTCTTTGCTAACAGATGTGAAATGAATTTGTTATTTATACTGATTCTTTTTAATCTATGTATCCAGCCATCTTAAAAGTCCCATTGCTGGACACGAGCCTCCCGTCGACAGCGTGGTGGGCTATAGCCCATAGCCATACCCCACCACGCTGTCAAGTTCACATGTCTTTCGAAAATTGCTAGGTTCTCTCTGACATTTCGATTTCCTTCACCGTATTAGTAAGTGGTAATCATGCTAGAAACGCACATGAAAATATAAGAAGTTCTAAGACCCGACATTTGAATTTTCCAAGCAATCGCGCTATTATTGCTATATTAAAATCAAAATATTTTTAGTTTTAATTTTATCCAACTGCACTGCTTTTTCTTCAGTGCTTATTTCGCTGTTGAGCATTTTTGTTATTCTCTATAGTTTTATTTTAAGATTCCTCATAAAACTGTAAACTGTTGATAATTTTTTCCATGGAAAAAAATGTTTCTGTCGATTTTATACTAGGGTTATAAGATGACTTAGTTATTGTAATCAATTCCAATACTTTACGTTATAATGCGTACAGCGTACTTATACCATTGAAAAAAACTTATTTCTAGATAATCACTTATCAAATTAATCATTCCTAAAATAATTAGATGGTCAATTCAATCTACACATATAATAAAATTGTAACTAAGCCGAATCTGTACATTAAATGTTTTTTGATAAATCTTATTGTATTGTATTGTATTCAGCCCTTTTTAACGTCCCACTGCTGGGCACGAGCCTCCCTTCAGTACGAGGGGAATCAGGCCATAGTCCACCACGCTGGCCAAGTGCGGGTTGGCGGACTTCACGTGTCTTTTGAAAACTTGCTAGGTTCTCTCAGACATGCAGGTTTCCTCACGATGTTTTCCTTCACCGTTAAGACAAGTAGTAATCATGTTGGAAATGATTCGCACATGAAAATATCAGAGGTGCGAGACCCGGGATTTGAACTCGCATCACTCGGTTTCCCAAGCGAGCGCGTTACCACTGGGCTACCACTGCCTTCCTCCTTCAAATCTTATTGACATAGACATTATTATCGATACAGAGGCCAAATCTATAGTCTTTAGATTTTTTGTCTGTGTGTCTGTCTATCTGTTATCGCATCACAGAAAACCACTAGAGGGATTTTGATGAAATTTGGTATGGTAATAGCTAGTTATCCGGGTCAACATATAGAATACTTTTTACAGCGGAAAAATATCTGATTTCTGAGAAAAATACAAAAACTGCAATGTAAGAGTATACTAATATGTAAAACCTAAGAATTTGGTTTTTGGTCATCGGAACGCGGGCGGAGCCACGGGCAATGCTAGTACATAATAATTATCACACTCTAACTTAACATAGTATTTCTTTCAATCAGACTCAGTATCTAAGAAAATTAATTTCACTCCATAAGACTTAATTCCTAAAACTTTTTCATCGCATTATCTTGCGAAAAAGGAAAGAAAATTGCAAAAGTTTGACAAATCTTTCTACTTAGGTACTACGTTTTCCCATTTTAGAGATAAGTGGCAGTGATTTAGCCCTTAAGGTCAATGGTCTTAGAACAAATGAAGGCAAGTCAAGGTCAACTCGACCTTCAAATGCGAAGTTAAATATACTGTTACAGAATTTACGCGCTATGTAAAATTTTATATAAAATTTATTGGTAAAGCATTTTTTTAATAATTTACTTATAGCATTAAATGGATGAGTGTATTATTAATTTTTATAATGATATAATAATTAATTATAGAAAACAAAAATATATTTCATAATTAAAGCTATTTAACGTATGTTAGTAAACTTACTTAAATTTAAAAAAAAAATCATATGTTACGAGAAAATGAATGGATGGTATCGATGTGTAGGTATTTTACAAAGACAAAACCATTAAGTATTTTTTTCTCCTCTGTTTGTCAACAAATTTTCTTTTTTTTTGTTTAAAAAATATTTAAAAATATCACCGAATTTCGACCATTGAGCAAGCACTAGTATTCGTAATAAATACAAAGTTAAAACTTCACAAAGAGTTAAGCTTGCATATAAATGATCTATTTAAATGAAAATTTTAGACACTTTGCAAGTTTAAAGAGAAAGCTTCACCGAATATTTATAAGGTTTCAATATTGAGTGAAGGACGACGATTCAAGGTTAGATCGACCTTGCGAATTCGTAACCTTGTAAAGTAAATTTGAAGGACTTTAGTGTTACATAATTTAGAATTTAAGTTTATTAAATAACAAGCTACTTCCGTGACTCCATACGTGTTGATATTTTTGATCGACTTTACAAAAGAAGAGAGTCGGGTTTTTTGTCTGTGTAGGTATATGTCGTACTGAAGGGAGGCCCGTGCCCAGCTGTGGGACGTTAAAAAGGGCTGAATACAGGTATATTTCGCATATATAGAGTCGCTCGGATTCGCCTCTAGAAAAACAAAAACAAATCTATCCCACGGGAATCGAACGTTTTTTCGGGATAAAAAATAGCCTTTGTATTATTCTGAAGTTTGATTAAAATCCATTCGGTAGTTTTTGCGTGAAAGAGTAACAAACATCTATACATCCCCAGAAACTTTTGCATTTATAATATTTGTAGGATTCGTCAATTGTGAAAGGATTTTCATGATTCTTTTTTGAAGTCGGTGCTACTTTTGTTTTATTTATTATCTTTTTTAAATGTAAATATTAATAACTATTTACTGATTTTCGTTACAGAGAAGAGACCTAGAGTCACAGATTTTGAAGAATAATGAAGAAAACAAGAATAAGATATGGTGGAGGCTGGGTATCGACTTGCCGCTGTTTATTATTCGTAAGTTTATTAAAGTTCCTTTAATTAAATACGATTTGAAAACCTTTTATGACAATTTGACATACTCGTATTAATATTATTCTAATGGTTTTTTGTTAATTATACAAAAAATAGGAGCAATTTTATATATTTTTACATTTTTATTTGTTAACTCTGCAATTTACTTGTTGAATACTTAGTGTTATTGTTAAATACTGCAAATTTATTGCCAGTAAAAAAAAAGAATCCCGTTAGTGCTATATCATTAATAACAATAAAATACAGATTATACAGAAACTAATAAATATTCAACTTTAAAATCTAAGTCACAAAATATAACGTATCAATATGTTAATTTACAAAATGAGTTAATCGACAGGTTTCAAAATAATCGTCAAAATCTTAAATTGGCCTAAAACTGAATGATAATATATGACTTAGAACGACTACCAAAAAGACTATTATGAGTTCCAATAAAATTTTAGTGCTGCCAGTTATAATAAATCAGTTGAATGTTACTATTTATAATGTAACGGCTTTTAAAAAATATAAATCATGTCATGTCAAAATAGACGGTGTAAAGAATAAGATATTTGGATAACTTTTTCTTTTGAAGCGTTGCATAAGGAAGTTAAAATAAGTTTTTAGTAAGCTAATATGTGCTAATTAAGGTTAAGTTTAATGATAAATGATGATGAAATTATTAAAATTTAACTGAATCTTATTTCTAATTTTTTGAGCAAATAAAATTTAAGGAAAATATATTTAAAGGATAATAAAAATATTTATATTTATTACATTGATCACTAAACACAATTGGTGACAGTTTTTAGAGAACTTTTGTATCGGATTGTGTATCTAGTTCTTTTTGATCGATGTTATAATCTATATCTATAATAAAATTCTAAGTCGAATCTGTACATTTCTACAATTTTTTGGAAAATCTAATTGAAATAGACATTATTATCGATACAGAGGCCGAATGTATAGTTTTAGATTTTTGTTTGTCTGTCTGTCTGTTACCGCATCACGAAAAAACCGCTGGATTGATTTTGATGAAATTTGGTATGGTTATAGATGGTTATCCGGGTCAACATGTAGGAAATTTTTTACCGCGGGAAAATGTCTCATTTCTGAGAAAAAAATACAAAAACGGCAATGTAAGAGCATATTAATATGTAAAAAAAAGCCTAAGAATTTAGTTTTCGGTCATCTGAACGCGGATGGAGCCGCGGGCAATGCTAGTACATTATAAATTAAGACTAAAGTGGTTATCGATTATATCAATTGTAATAATATCGATTTAGTTTAGATCTACTAATCAAGATCAACGTAATTAACCAAATAATAACAAAATAGTTCAATAGTAATCGATTCAACATTATTTAGAGTTTTTTGACAGTAAACATTAAAAAAGTTAAGATGAGTGATTTAAAAAACTAAATGTTATGTAAAAACATAAATAGCTTACCATACGTTAATGAGCACATTTTTAAAACAGAAATTATGGGCCACATGTGTGGACCCCACCGTGACGCATGTGGCAGTATGCACGCAATCGCAGTCACGTGGAAAAAAAAGAAAAAAAAAAGCGCAATGTAAACGAACTTATTTGTATACAAATATCAGACGCAACATCGGGGAAATCGATATTATGTCTTTAATATTATAATAATAGTAGCATTTCCCGCGGCTCCGCCTGCATTCAGATGACCAAAAACCAAATTCTTAGATTTTACATATTAGTATACTCTTACATTGCAGTTTTTATATTTTTTCTCAGAAATGAGACATTATCCCGCGGTAAAAAGTATCCTATATGTTTGAGATAATTATCTAAAAGTGTCATAACAATATGATTCACTAATTTCCTCTTATATTATTATATTTAGTTATAAATAATAATATATACATAATATGGGTACTAAATTATATAAACATTACAACACTCACTTTATCCTATATAATTATGGGCGGGAATAATTTATCGATACTTACTAAAAGGTATCGATTAACGATTATTATGCATTTCTTAAATCGATTTCCGCTCTATTATTTATCGGTCGTGTAGTGCGTGATATTTTTAAATTATCGTGCATTCGAAATTGTTGTTTTAAAATATTTTGTTGGCAACTTAACTTAATTATATTATGAACATTATTCATTTTGATTAATCGTTTATTAATGAACATTAAAAATATGAATTAAAGACGTACATGCTCTTGACGAATAATATATATGCATACCAGCAGCGCCATCTGTTATTGAGTAGCATAAACTAAATACAATAACAGTTTATTGATTTTTTATATTAAAATTATATTAAATTCAGTAATTTAATATATAAAATTTCTACTATGAATGATAAATAAAGGGGTTATAATAAATTTAACCTTTAATTATATACTTTTATCAATTGGTATTTTTTTGTTATTTTTGAACATCTCTATTTTTGCGTCAATTTTGTTGCTTATCATTTTCATTGTCAATTATTCGCGTAAATCTAAGAAAGTTATAAAGTATTATTATATATATACAAATCATAAACTAATACTTAAATCTAAATCAACAGTTAAAAACATTAAACTCACGCATTTCTAGAACACTGATCGTATGCACAAAAAAATGGCAACATTTGACGGAATAAATTAAAAAGAAAAAAAAAACAATTTTATCAAAACAATTAGGTGTATTTCCTTCGTAAATTGTTTTAAAAACCATTCTCGTGATATAACAATTTGATTGTTACATCAGTTAGGTAACAAATGGGAGGATGTTCGTACGTATGATGCAATCTATGAAATGCAATTTTGCTATTGCCACGTTGTGCTCCACGTGTGTACAGAGGGCTAGACAAGTTTAGACTATAACTACTCTAATTTCATATAAAATAAGGGATAGATCTGTGTTGTACATCGTACATTGCATAATATGGTCCTAGTCGTAGTGCAATTTGTTGAATGAATGACTGGCACTGAAAAGTTAGTAGATTATCGTTCTATTTTCAAATATTAAGTGTCGATAAAGAAAATTTTGGTTTTAAAGTTTTATATTTAATTTATACTCAGAGGCAATGTATTACGATATCCTTTTACAAAATATTGTCAGGCAAAATACTATTTAACTTTTTAAATTTTCGCGTTCCATAATTATATAATAATTACACTACGGGACTTATGCCCGATTCATCCCCTAAGCATGTTTAGGGGGCTGCTAGGGGACAGATTCTGTTACACCGACAGTTAGGGGTCACCTAAATGTAAAAATGCCACCTAAATATAGGTACTAGAAATACGGGTTCAGACGATTGTCAAACGAAATTTAATTTAGGGGCTAGTTTAGGGGAACTTTTAAGCTATAGATCCCATACGTAGGTGGTAGCTTAAGTGATGGCTATACCTTATTCCCGACGTTTCGACTCGGTTGCACCAGCCGTGGTCACGGGCAGACTCGTCGTCCCGTAATTATTATATAAAATACTACTTTTATTAAATTATCAAGTATTAATCTTCACTAAGGGATTCATAAAAGATATTATCTGTGGTTATTAGTCACAATTCCTTATTGAATATATCTTTATTTTACACCTAAAATCGGCTTACATTCGTGTATATAGAGATCAATGCACATTTTAAACATAATTTAAAATAGTGTGTCCTAACTAAATAGTTAAAACCTAGATGAAAACCCTGAACCTAAAGGGTCGAAATGTCGTATTGCTATAGTAACTACCGTCAATGACAGATAACCACTGTAAAAGATTTTTTTAAAGTAATCTGTGCTCAACTGGAATGCTTTGAAGCCATTAACAAGAAAATTGACTAGATTTTTTTGACATTTAACTTTAGAAGTGTCAAAAGGAATGGTTAAAACTTGGCAACACTAGCCAGACGAAACCAGGGTAGATTGCTAGTTATTTATATATATAAAAAATATCATAGCTCCTTTATTAAACGGTTATAAAATAATTGGTACGAGTATCGTTTATATAATTGGCTGAATAAACGCAGGATAGCTAAGTCAGACGAGACTGACAACGATTCACCTTTATAGATTGTGTAACATCCTTCTCCGGTCTCCATTTGTTTACTACGACTTGGTACGTGTTGTTTAGTACTCAATTACTTATATAAAACTTACGTATGTAAAAGACTTTTTCACAAGAAATAGAATGGAAAAAGCTGGTATAGAAAAAGAATTTCTAGAATTTTCTCCTCTTATAGATATTTTTTTTAAATGTACACGGAACCTCTTTTGAGGTATAAATATTATAAAAAAAGCAATATGAAAGTCTATTCACAATTGGCGAAGTTATCACGTAGGTAATATACACATCTATACATATAATAAAATTGTAACTAAGCCGAATTTGTACATTAGATATTTTTTGGAAAATCTTATTGACATAAACATTATTATCGATACAGAGGCTGAATTTATAGTTTTTAGAATTTTTGTCTGTCTGTCTGTCTGTCTGTCCGTCTGTCTGTTACCGCATCACAGAAAAACGACAGGAGGGATTTTTATGAAATTTGGTATGATGATAGCTGGTTATCCGGGTCAACATAAAGGATACTTTTTACCGCGGAAAAATATCTCATTTCTGAGAAAAAATACAAAAACTGCAATGTAAGAGTATACTAATACGTAAAACCTAAGAATTTGGTTTTTGGCGATCTGAACGCGGGCGGAGCCGCGGGCAATGCTAGTAAAAAATAAAGCAGAATTCTTTTCCTTATTAAAGTTGGTCATAAACTATTAAAAAACCTTGCGTTAATTATCGATTTATTATTTGCATACATATTTAATGCTGGTTAAGTGAAACGCAGTCTTTTTTTATTTATGACGACTGAAATTAAATAAAATTATCTTTTCAGATTTTTTCGTGGATTTATTTTGATTTTTAGTTCCCGACGTTTCAAATGCTTTACAGCAATCATGGTCACGGGAGAGACAGCTAAAAATAAATCCGCAATAAAAATCGAAAAGATAGTGAAATGTCAAATATTCGCGTAAATCTAAGAAAGTACCTATTAAGATGACTGAGAATAATTTCAACTCTGAACATTATTGGCTTATACCAAATATATTATGTACCTAGAATACTAGCTTACTTATTAAGATTTATCTCGCTTTGTATTTACAAAATACAATCCATGTCATCATCCGTACAAAATTGAAGGAGGAACAAATACACAAATTTTTGCACTTATAATGGTAGTGTTACATAAAAATCTATATGTCTTATCTACGTATATATAAATATTATGTATATAGACTTTAAAATAAAAACATGGTTATCCAAAATATTAAATAAAATAACGTAATTTAGTTTCAAAACATTACCGATTAGACGAAGCAAATGAAAAAGACCTCAAGTTGAGAGATGGATGATCTTCAGGTTTTTGACATTGGTCGTTAAGCAATTGGTCGAAACCCTCGCTTCCGCCATTTTCAGTTCAAAGTCAATGTCGAAACAGCAGGATGGTACAATTGCGTAATTGCGAACAAAATTCGCACTCAGACAAGCTGACGTGTTTTATTTAAAAATAAATCTGGCTATATCCAGTGCGGAATAATATACCTACTTTAAACTTTTTTAAATTAGCATAAAAATGACATCTATACATATAATAAAATTGTAACTAAGCCGAATCTGTACATTAAATATTTTTTGGAAAATCTTATTGAAATAGACATTATTATCCATACAGAGACCGAATCTATAGTTTTTAGTATTTTAAAGAAAAAATAAAACAGTAAATTTACGTACACGTATTTTCTTACTCTACTGACGCTGATATAGATAATACACATAAAACATAGTACCATAAATAAAAACAGGATTCTACGTACACACATAATTTGTAAATTAATATATTCTTTCGTAGTAATCTTAGAAATCTTGGAACGCACTCGTAAATCTTTCACGGATTTTATAAGATAAAATCTCCACTGTTTTAACTCCATATCAGATGGTTATGGTCCGGATTAAAATGCTATAAGGAACAAAGGACGCGTATAAAAATATTTTCTATTAATAATTATTATTTATTACATATCTCTTCAGATTCAGTTTAAAATAAAAACCAGTTTGTTTTGTACGCTTCTTTTTCAGCCGCAGAAATATTTTGTTTTCATAGAAATATTGTAGATGCGTAAATATTTTATTTGTGTTTTAATATAACAAACTAACTAACACTAAGGTATTGGCCAATCCATATAATTATAATACAGGATAGAATGAGTCATCAAATGTTAGCAACACTATATAAGTATTTTATTGTATAATTTTCGATAGTTTCAGTTCGAGACTATAATCTATCTCTGTGCCAAATCTTATCCAGATCCGTTCTGCCGTTCTGGCGTGAAAGAGTAACAAACATCCATACTCAAAAACTTTCACATTTATTATATTAATAATACAGATGTTTTTTTCCGCAGTTTCAATCCTCATGGCGTTATTCGAGATGGGCATGTTACCACATTACAAGAATGGCTTCCACTGTAACGACCCCGCACTCTCGTACCCGTTTAGAGGGGACACCGTGTCTATGGTTGTTATAATGTCTACAGTAATTTTATTGCCATTTGTGATCGTAAGTATTGCTTTTAAGCTTCAAATAATTTTATAGTATTTAACGTTTAGTACAGATTTCTCAGAGATGAGATATTTCCCGCAGTAAAAAGTATCCTATATGTTGACCCGGATAACCAGTTATCATCATATCAAAATCCCTCCAGTGGTTTTTCTGTGATGCGGTAACAGACAGACAGACAAAAATTCTAAAAACTATGGATTCAGTCTCTGTATCGATAATAATGACTATTTCAATAAGATTTTCCAAAAAATATTTAACGTAAAGATTCGACTCAGAATCCATACTAATATTATAAATGCGAAAGCATGTTTGTTTGTTTATCTGTCTTTATTATATGATTTGATTTCTTTCACATCGAAACGGCTTGGCGGATTGGCGTGATTTTTGTGTGGAGATAGTTGGAGGGCTGGAGCGTGACATAGGCTACTTTTTACCGCGGGAGATTGATTCTTTCCCACGGGAAAACACGTTATAATACAATCCAAAAAAATATTTATGATCAGAATTACTTGAAACTCGGTTTTAATACTCTTCATACAATTAATTAAATACGTGTTTTAGCATTTTTCTAAATTTATCCCATAAGGGGGTAAAATAGCGGATGAAAGTTGGTATGAAACCTACCTTTTTAGAGTTTTTTGCAGTTTTAGGGCGAGCAAAGCCGCGGGTTCTGCTAGTTTTATTATATGCACAGATAAATTTAGCAAAGCAAAGGAGAACAGTTATTCATCCAAAAATAAATAAAATATGTTATCTAATATTTAATTGTAATAAATAATTTTATTATACTTTTTCAGATATTCATAACAGAAATAGTGCTCTTCGACCCCGCATATTCAGCTCGAACAAAACTAGACTACGCGTCACGAAGGACTGCAGTCTTGTACAGGAACTACGTATTTGGGATATTTTTCAATTTAGGTATTGTAGAAGTCATGAAAGCTATTACTGGAATTCCTAGACCCACTTTCTTCGACATCTGTGAGCCGGATGCTGCGAAAACTTGTAATGGGTAAGTGTATGTTTTTAAGTGTATTAAGCACTAGCGACTCACCCTCGCTTCGCTCGGGTTCGTCACTATTTATGTTTTAACGTTGAGTATCGATTTCTCAGAGATGAGATATTTTACCGCTGTAAAAAGTATTTTATATGTTGACCCGGATAACCAGCTATCATCATACCAAATTTCATTAAAATCCCTCCAGTCGTTTATCCGTGATGCGGTATCAGACAGACAGACAGAAAATTATTCTAAAAACTATAGATTCGACCTCTGTATCGATAATAATTTGTATTTCAATAAGATTTTCCAAAAAATATTTAATGTTACAGATCCGGCTTAATTAAAAATGTTTTCTGCGGTCAATATGTCTTAATTAAATACTTAAATGAATACTTATATTTAGAAATAATCACAAAAAAAACAACTAAGTTTCATATGACTCTTTAAATTTTGATGGTCACATCTTTACAATATCGGCTAGATATTTCCCTTAAAACTGGAAACGGAAGTGAAAAACAGGGTGAATTTACCCTTTTATATTAATTTTGATTTATTAGTAGATAGAGGGTTATAGGACGCTTAGTTACAAGAGCTTTTCCTCTAATATATATAGAGACCGTACTAATGGTTGAGTATTATATTTTTATTCACTTGTTACAGATCTGAGTATGTTAGTACGTTTGAGTGCACCTCAACTAGATTCCCAAAGTGGTATCAAAGCGATTCCTACCACAGTTTTCCTTCAGGGCATACATCACTCTCAGTGTACTGTGGATTGTTCCTAGCGGTAAGAAATGTTATGTTAAAACTCTATACTTAAATTTAATTATTTAACAATACTTCATAATAAAATTAATTTCGTTTACGATAGAAAACTCATACTATGAAGCTGTTGGGTTTTAAGGTCAGAAGCATTAAGTCCGGTAACTCCTTATATAAAGCGAGCACTATAGAAAGTTTTTTGAAATTTCATTTCAATTTTAATTGAACAAAAAGATGTAGAATAGAAATAAAGAAATTGATGTTTAAATATAAACTATGCATACTCGTACAATACTTATAATATGAATTTTGAAATTAAAAAGCTTGCTTTATAACATATTAGATTTTTCATCTCGCATACATATTTAAATTAAGTCTGTATGACAAATCCAACTGTAATATCAAAAAATTCATAGCTAATGAGCTTAGCGTTATAGTTATCTATATTTTTTTGTAAAACCAAAGGTTAATTGAAATGAATCCACACACAAAAAGAGCGTATACTCAAATTAAATACCATTATATTTCAAATAATTTTAATCTCTTAAAAAATTGTAAGACCTTTTCTTTCTACAGTGGTATCTCCAACGTCGCGCCTTTAGTTGGCAGAACAGGATTGTTTTCTTAGTACCGATTGTACAGCTGTTGTGCCTCGCGTACGCAGCAATTTGCTCCCTCACTCGCATCACCGACCGTCGCCATCATTGGTGGGACGTCCTTACTGGTGCTTTTATAGGACTGGCAACATCTTTATATGCGGTAAGTTGTAAGATGTCATACTAATAATAATATCCTTTTAAGTTCTAATTAAGGCAGCGGTAGCCCAGTGGTAGCGCGCTTGCTCGGGAATACAAGTAAAGCGGGTTCAAATCCCAGGTCTGGCACCACTGATATTTTCATGTGCGTATCATTGTAAGGACATCGTGAGGAAACCTGCATGTCTGAGAGAACATAACAAGTTTTCGAAAGAAGTGTAAAGCCCGCCAATCCGCACTTGGTCAGCGTGGTGGACTATGGCCTGATGCCACACGTATTGGGAGAACCGTGCCCAGCAGTGGACGTTATAAAGGGCTGAATACCAAGTTCTAATTGATTTCGGACTGAGACTAATATACTGTGTAGGAGATATTACGATATTTTTAATTTAGTTATAATATAATATATGAGAATAATTTAGTCACGTGATGTACCTATCTCATAGTGTGATACTTTCATTAAAGCTATTTTATTTTTCCAACCATACAGTAGATAATCATATATTCAATTCAATTTTCTTATTAATGGCTTCAAAGCGTGTCATTTGAGCACAGATTACTTCGCCAATGTCACGTAAAATGGAGAATACACGAAGATTGATCAGTAAAAATAAAACTAATTATAAGATTAGACATATTGTTTCTATGACATAACGATTAATGTCATTTCAATATATGGTTTTTTTTTAATTCTTTTCCACAATGACTGTAGAATGACATTTCGTTTACAGCCCAAATTTTTTGTGTTTTATCAGACATGAACAACTCGTAACGTTGTTAGTTAACACAAACAAGGGTACTAATTAGATCCCGCATTACGCCCAAATTTGTTTAAAAAGGTTGATTTACTGGACAAATATGCGACGTTGTTGTGCTATGTCATTGACCTTTATACGTGTATTTTAACTTAGCTTTGCATTTGGTTTTGTCTTACGATAATAAAATTATTTATATGACTTTGGCGAAATAAATTGTGATTAAAGCCATTCATTTATTGATGATTAAATTGAATTTCAAAATAGCGATGATACTTTTCCACGCTTGTGAAAAATAGCTCTTGGTACTTTAAAACACAAAAGAAAGGTATCGCCATCCCATACAAACGTAGAAGAATTATAATGGAGGAGTTTCCTGATGTTGGTAATAACATATTTAACGCAATGGAATTATAATATAGGTCAAAACTAAAAAATCAGTGTTTTTTTTTAAATCTATCAATAAATTACTTTGAAATTAATTTTGATTTCGGTCGTTCAGGTCGTGTGACGTTTATTTTTTTTTCATTTGTTGAGATATTTTAATATTTTTGTTCTATTTTACTGATTTTTTTATAATTAATAAAAATAAATGAGAAACTTCTCCATTCTTTAATCTTATTTTTGTTTGCAATTCTGCAATTCTTTTGCAAATCTGCAAAATTTAGAATTATTTTTTCATCATCAGTGAAATTTTGGAAATTTTATTAAGAACGCATTAATACATTTCCTTTTACTTAAAGTAAATCAGATATACCTACCTTTATATATTATACATAAGCATCAATATCAAATACATTTAACGCCATCTATTGTCATATATTTGAACCAATTTTTCTTTCTGATTCGACCGCATGGTTCAGGCGTTTAAAACAAACATTTTTTAATGATTGTTTAAACTTGTATAGTAAAAATAACCACATGTGTACAGTATTTGAGATGAGTAGCTATTTTGAAATTACATTTAAATACGTTAATATAATTTACAAATATAGAATTCAAGCGATACGTTACGTTTTAATGTTTAGTACAGAATGCTCAGAGATGATCTAGAATTTTTCCCCGCAGTAAAAGTATCCTATATGTTGACCCGGATAACAATGCTATCATCATACCAAATTTTGTCAAATTCTGTCTAGTAGTTTTATTCGTGATGCGGTCACAGACAGACAACAATTCTAAAAATTATAGATTCGGCCTCTGTATGACAATAATGTCTATTTCAATGAGATTTTCTATAAAATATTTAATGTACAGATTAGGCTTAGCTACAATTTTATTATATGTATAGATGTTTAATGATAAAGTTATTTTTTTCTTTACAGGTTTTAGTGATAAGTAAAAACTTTAATCAAAAATCAAAAAGTACAGAAGATAAAACTATGACAGAGAGTCAACACACAGTGCGGACTTTAGTGTTTGACGGGCCGCAGCAAACAGTGCCATGAATAGTAAAACTTTTGTGAAATATAGATTTAAGATATGATGAATATTGAAATATACTCTTCATTCGGTTCTGCTTGCATCGATGAATCAATACAGGGTACCAGTGGTATTGACAATATTTTAAAATTATTTAGGTGTAACTTTATCGAGCTTAATGAATTATTTTATTATACATATAGCTTGATATTAAATTGACATATCATTTTAATATAAAATAATTCATATAAAATCTGTATGTTAGTTTTTTTAAGGAATTGTTTACTTTTTTTAAAGGCAACGCTACTACTTTAACATATTTTCTAACATTAAAAGAAAATTACGGACGTAGATACTACAAATGATAGTACCTACTTTGTATCAAGTTATAATGTAATTTACGAAAAATGACATATTTGTAAAGCTAGAATGTTTTTTAAACTGAATCGTGAGTGTTCAGATATGCACTCCTCTATCAACGTGAGCCCCTTAGACTGGGGTGCAAAACCTGACATGGAACCAAGAATAGGATGGATGATCAACAGAGGGTCACTGAGATATTATTAGCAAGTACACTTTCGCACTCAGCTTTCCTCGAGGTGTCATCGCGAGAATGTACACCCGCCATTAGTGTCATTTGCATTATTCAATATTTACGTCAATGATTTGCTATCAATATTATAACATGTAGTATTATTAAAATTTAATTCTTATGTTGAATTTAATATTTAAAACTGCTAAATTTTAAAATTACCGCTCGGCAGAATATATTGCGTCTATTAACGCAACTCTAAGCCAATAAAAAAATCATTTCGATTGCATATCGATTTTCGCGTCAGTGAGCGTGAATTACATAAATAATGTCATTCACAAAAGACCATGTAAGGATGGCTCATTTTTTAATTGTATATAAAGTTTTGTTTATATTTTAAATTTTAACTTTAGATACCTATGACTATGTCATGTATCTATTTATTATATATGATAATATGTAAAATGTAAATATTTGTATGGTACTTTATTATACAACATTGGAAAGTTGAGAATCTAACTCTATGTACATATTACGAATTGCTAGTTATGGCTACATTGTGGCCACCTGCAAAGAACAACATTGAAATTATATAATGAGGTAACCTAAAAACATAATGAACTTTTTAACGAAATTAAGTCTAAATTGATAGCCCAGTGGTAACGTGCTCGCTTGGGAAACCGAGTGATGCGGGTTCAAATCCCGGGTCTCGCACTTCTGATATTTTCATGTGCGAATCATTTCTAGCATGATTACCGCTTGCCTTACGGTGAAGGAAAACATCGTGAGGAAACCTGCATGTCTGAGGGAACTTAGCAAGTTTTGGAAAGACATGAGAAGTCCGCCAACCCGCACTTGGCCAGCGTGGTGGACTATGGCCTGATCCCCCTCGTATTGAAGGGAGGCCCATGGCCAGCAGTGGGACGTTAAAAAGGGCTGAATACAAGTCTAAATTCAAAATTACTTCATTACAATGTTACAACGTTGTTCTTTACAGATTGATCGATTATTGTAAATTATTATATTTCTATAATAATTAATATTGTGATATAAAAATAAACATTCCCTAAGTATAGTTTGTATATAATTGCATATTTTATATTATTTTTACATATTTTTAAACAATAGAATAGACATTAGACATTTATTGTAGAGATGTGAGGAGGACAAGGTAACGCCAGTATTACTTAGCTTTCGTGTGTTTTGTTTGGACATGAGATGTACATATTAAACTATTAAAACAAAACAAGTTCTATCTTTTATTTCAAGTGAAGCTTACTGCTACTAACTAATATAACTATTGTCGTATGTATATGATGTGATGTTCTCCTGACCGATTCCGGCTACGGCGGCGGCCAATCTCATTGAGACTAGCCAACTGCGCAGGAGATAGGATAGTGCACAAGTGTACGCGCAGACACAACGTACACTCTCTATTCTGTCACTCTCATACTCCGGTGGGACGACTGCTGGACACGACCGGTGAGAGTGAAGGCGCAGGATCGACGGCTTTACGTGCTCTCTGAGGCACGGGGGTGCAACACCGCCAACTTCCCAACTTCGGGCTTGTTACTGAGGCTTACTATACAGAAAGACTCATTAACTAAACTTGGCCCGACCCGGGACTCGAACCCAGGACCTACGGGTGTGCAGCTGTACATGCTAGCCACTATACCACCGAAGCAGTTAAACACAGGCACCGTATGTATGTATACCAGTGGCGAAGGGTCCATACAAGACTATTCCCACCGTCTTACCTTTTACGGATTCAATAATACATAAATATTTATTTTTTGAATTAACGTAATTAAAAAATTAACTTATTATTACTGCCCCAATTCCTGAAAATAATATATCGCCACGAATACACACAAAACAAGAAATCATATGTCATGCTTGGAGCGCAAAAAATATTTACATACATTTAAAAAAATATATAATAGCCTTAATAAGAAAATAAAATAAGTACCTACTCAATAAATTTTTTTTGCATTGATATAGGCATAAAAATTGTATATCGATGTTTTTTTATAGGTATGTTTTTTTTGGAACGGCTTAAGTTTCACCCTTCGCCACTGATGTATACGGTATATACTCGTATATCGTAGGGATGTGATAAAAGCCGTGAAATTATAATTTGATTAGTCATATTATAATTGCACGGATTTTTGTCAATCGTCTCCATTTCTTACAATATCCCGGGATAATTCTAGTTACATTATAAACTAGCCGCTTACTGTCGCTTTGCTTCGGGTACGTCCTTGAACAAAAACAAATCTATCTCACGGGAATCGTACATTTCTGCGGGATCGTATATAGCCTACAGTCTTACTCAATACACAGGCTATGTAATGCAAAAAGAATTTTTCAAGTCGGATTAGTAGTTCCTGAGATTAGCGCGTTCAAACAAACAAACTTTGTCTCTTTATAATATTAGTATAGATTCACTAAGTACTTTCAGTGACATTGTGAATCAATGCAACTTTGAACACTTTACAACGTGGAAAAGTAACAAACATACAAACTTTCGGACTTACAATAGTAATACTATTATTTATTTACATTACGATATTTGATTCGGTACCTACTAGACTAAAATTAGTCCCTTGAAGGGTCAAAGTTACAACAGATTGCTTCATACCATTTGTCATGCTGGAATAAGGATGTGAGTTCGATTACCGTTATGCAACTTGTTAAAGCAATTCACAGGCAATTTAGATAATGTTTTTAAAAGGATATGTTGTTTGACGTAAAAATTTTATCAATTGAGTTATGTTTCTTTGTTGGAATAGTGATTTACTTGAAGGCATGCGTCAAACGTTATGATGTCTTGTGATAAGTTTATTTATTAAAACAAATATAGCTATGTTTAATGTTTATCCATATTATATATAAATGTATGCTTTATTTTAAATATTTAGGTAATAGCTAATTTAATTATTGAGATAATTATTTTGAGTGCTTCATATGTATGCCTAAATAGGCAAAGGTAGAAAAGTTCAGCACTTTTTCTCTGTGAACCGATTACTTTTTTTACTTTTATATAAAATATACGATATACCATTTTTTTATAGGCTATTGACTAGCTTTTGTGTTTCAATAAATAAAAATTGAGAATACAGTTTTTTCACAACACAAAACAGTTCAGTATTATTTTAAAAAATCAGTAATGAATTTATTATTTCTATCCCTCATATCCCATGTCCTCTCTAAGGTATCAAACTATCTTCTTACCAAATTTCATCTAAATAGGTTCAGTAGATCTAGAGAATACCCCCTACGATGACGTCACAAACTCACAAACTTTACCTCTTTATAATATTAGTATAGACTAGCGACTCACCCTCGCTTCGCCCGTATTCGTCTCTAGTACGTTTTAACGGTTAGTATGAAATACAAATCTTTGAATTTCTCGGCTTTTCTGTACTATATATTTGCATGTATTATACATTCAAACCTTCCTCTTGAATCACTCTATCTATTGCTGAAAACTGCATTAAAATCCGTGGAGTAGTTTAAAAGGTCTAAGCGAACAGATAGCGGAAACGACATTTTATACTCAATTCAATTCAAATTCAATTCAATTCAAAATATTTTATTCAGCATTAAATTATTACATTTTTTTACTAAACGCCATGAGTCTATTACCAGTATGTAAAGTCACTATGTAAAGATATTACTAAATTAAGTGTCACTATGTAAAGATATTATTTATTAAAAAAAAAATACACCAAAATTACTTTATTAGTATCATTTTACTCTTAGGGTTTGTTTTTTTAAATTTATATACAAATGCCCTTCATTGAAGTATATTCAATTTAAAAAAACGGTCAAATAAGGCAGTTTGTGTCTTCTTGAAACAACAGATGTAATTTAAACCATTGGTTTTCAAGTTGAGTTAAAATTTAGTCATCTTACATATTGACGCAATTTAAGCAGTAATATATTAGGTTATCAATAACTTTGATGTGCCGTCACTTACTATCTAATTGTGTTAGAACATCCAAACTCCAATCCAAAATAGAATAGGACGAATCTGTGACTGTGCCATGTTAGAATAACTTGTAACATATTACAATATTATGCTAATAAAAACTTAAAAAAATATATAAGACCAACTTCCACGCACTAAAATGTAAAATATAACTAAACGGGGGTTTTCATCTAGAATAGATACCTAATCAGATATTTTCGAAGTCGGTGCCAGCCGACGCATAGGAAATCTAATATATTTTGATACGTAAAATACATATTTATCTATTAGATATTCAAATCTTAAAATATTGTCCGTTTTTTTATACAATTGTCTATATAGTGTTTACCCAAAAACTAGGATTCCCGCAAGGATTTCTCAAAGAGGGGATCGTAAAATAATTTTATCGGTCCGTTCCCATCTATCTAGGACATCACTTATTAGGTCAGTAGTAAAATGTTTGATAATGTCTAATTATATTCGCGGAGTGGGAACATAAATCATACGAAAGCTTTCAT